GAGGGGACACCGTGGGCACCGCGCGCACGCACCTGCACCGCGCACCCGGTTTCAGGACTTGATGCAATCCGGATCAAACGTGGCTGAGCGCGTGTGGACACGGGACTGACGCAACACACGTGTAACTGTCAGCCGGGCCCTGAGTAATCACTTAAAGATGTTCCTGCGGGGTTGTTGCTGTTGATGTTTTTGGTTTTTTCGTTTTTGTTTTTTCTTTTTGGTCTTATTATTTTTTTGTATTATAAAAAAGTTCTATTTCTATGAGAAAAGAGGCGTATGTATATTTTGAGAACCTTTTCCGTTTCGAGCATTAAAGTGAAGACATTTTAATAAACTTTTTTGGAGAATGTTTAAAAGCCTTTTGGGGGCAGTAGTTGGCTTCTGAAAAAATTTTTTTCTTCCCTTCTGACTTTGGATTTATGCGAGATTTTGTTTTTGTGTTTCTGGTGTGTAGGGGGCTGCGGTTATTTTTGGGTTGTGTGTGGTGGTGGGTGGGGGTGTCGCATCTGGGTTTTTCTCTTCCCCTGGCAGATGGGGTGCCAGCCCCTCCCCCCAGGAGAAGGAGCAGAGTGCTGGGTCAGGAAATCAGGGTGACTCAGCACCCATGGGTGCTGGGGACCTTGTTAGAAACCCTGCTTGGGACGGGGTTGGTTCTGGGTGTCAGGCTTGTGTTGGGGACCAGGCAGGCAGTGACTCTGTAGAAGGGGCTGGTCCAGACAGCCCCAGTCCGGGCAGGTACTTCGGTAAGTACGGTGTACAAAGTACTGTGTGTTTGGTGGCGGGGAGGGGAGCCTGCATGTCTGTTTGGTTTGTATGTCCCCGTGTAACTGGAAGAGAGATGGGGCCAAGTGGAGGGTGAAGGGGACAGTTCCTACTCTGTGTTCCCTTCCAACCCAGATGGGACATGGAGCCTCCCTGGCCTGGCTCAAGGTGGCTGAGCCAGGACTTGAACTCAGATCCACCGCTCAGATTCGCTGGAGCAGCACCGATTTCCACAGCCGGCCTGCATTAGTGGAAGTTGAGAGTGTCCAAGGAGTAGTGGATATGCCGTGTCCCGCCGTGCCTGGCACGCCAGAACTCTTACATAAGCATTTGTTCTTGTTATTATTTTTGATGGGAGGCTCCTGGCATTTGGCTGTGTGAGCGTGGCGCCTGCCCAGGGCTAGCGTCCTGCAAGCCCTGGACCTGCCCGTATCTCCTTCAAGCCTCATGGAAAGTGGGCACTCCTGTGCCCTTTGCTTTATGGATGTGAATGGCTTGTGGTTGTTAGATTCCTATGAGTACCCTGCCCTGAGGAATTCTGGGTAGTGGGTAACAGCAGTTTGCCAGAGGCCTAGAGGAGCCTGGGGTCTTGGGAGTGACCAGTGACACCGTGGGGCTTGAGAATAGGGGATGCTTTTTCTTCCCCTTCTCTGTGGGAACCTGGAGTATGGGACTGGTGACCTGTGGTCATTTGCTGTCACAGGGCTGATGGTGAGGCTTTCTCTGTCCCTCTAATCAAGGTGGCTGGAGGCCTATACAGACCCTCAGACACTAGGCTTCCAGTCAGCTGCCTTCTAGGCTTATGTAGACAAACACTTGACCTGGTGGGCCCTGGAGCCAAGGTCAGTGTAGCCCATGGCCCAGTGTCCTGGTGACTTCTATCCACGCCAGGGGCTGTTGGTCAGCTCCATTGCTTCAGGATTTAACCACTTAGACCCAAAGCCTGGGCTGAACTAGGAGGTTGAGGAGGCTCTATCTTTCCAGGAATGGAAAACTTTAACATACCTATGCAGACAGGCTGGCCTTGCATCCATTTCTTCGCATAAGTAACTCTGTGACTTGAAGTCACAGAAGTGAAGTGACACTCTCACACAAAGTAGAGGGGTGCTGCCTGCTGTCTCAGGGTTGGTTTATAGTCCCTGTCCCTACCCCAGTCCCACTGCCATTTATGGAAGGTTCATTTCTCGGCCCCAAGATCAGGTACCCAACCCCAAGTGGCAGCACAGACTAGAACGCCCCCGGGGAAGGGGGCATGACCCAAGGCCCATCTGATGTCTCCAGGATTGGGAAAAGCAGGAAGTGGGTCAAAACTTTCCTATCTGTGCGGCCCAGTGTAGGAGCACAGTGGACAGGAGATGCCACTGATAAGGTGACATATCAGATCACCAGGCCGCCAGGGGTCAGGGACTGCCCAGAAGAGGGACAAGCTGGACCAAAAGTCCGGGGACAGGACAGCAAGTCGGGGAGAGAGCAGTGGCTGGAAGGATAATTTTGGTGAGGGGAGGATAGCTCACAGAATTGGAGTGTCTCTCCAGACCCTTGTCATTGGTGGGCTACTGGGTCCTCCTGCTGCCAGGGGTGGTCAGCCATGTTGCCCACAGCCCCGTGGAGTGGTGGTAGTCACTGTTGAGGCTTGCCTGAAGGTGAGGCGACCAGAGCGTTCACAAATGAACGTTCTTTGGGGGCGTTCACAAAATGTACTCTCATCTCATTGCCGAATGCAGCCAACCCACAACCTGGTGACTTTACCCAGGAGAGAAGTAGGTGACAGAAAGGGAAGGGGGAGGCGTGGGTACCGGCCCAGCGTGGTGGAGGTCCCGCTCGCTGATGTGATCGCCTCGGCCTTGGCTGGAGCTTCGGCTACAGGAGTCTTCTGCCTGGCAAAGAGGCTCCGAGAGGGGAAGTGACTTGTCTACGTTTGCGCAGCTGGGAAGGGTAAAAGTTAGCGTGGGAGCTGGATTTGGGGGGACTGTCTCTTCCAGCCATCTGAGGAATGTTCCCCTCCCCCCATATCCGGTTCTGACTTGTTTGCTCCTCTCTTAGATATTTATTTGCCCTGTTACTTTTCATTTATGTGACAATCATTTATTGAGCACCAGCTGCATGCCAGCTCCCATTGCGGGTGCTGGAGTTGGGTGGTTACAAAGGAGGTGACAATTAACAAGCAGAGAAGGACACTTAAATACTCAGCCACTGGAACAAGATAATGACAGGTGGGAATAGACTCGGAAGGAAGAAAAGTGGGGCAGGAAAGGGTGGGGAGGAGCCTTCTGAGAGAAGGTGTCTCTCCTGGGCTAGCCTGAGCTAAGCAGGGAGCCCAGGATACCACGTGCTTCATTTATCTTCCATCTCCCTTGAGACATCCTAGCTCCCACTGCTTTCCCCACCCACAGGGAAAGCCAGGCACAGGCAGAGTCAAAGTCACAGTCGTCACTGTCCCCAGAGCTGCTGAAGTGAAGATTTGACTCCTCGTGTGAGCCCACAGGCCACCATTCGCCCTACTGTGACCTTAGACCTTCTCCTCCCTCCCTCACCCTATTCCTGACATGGAGACCCTAGCGGTGTCCCACTGACCGCTCCTTCTTTGGGGGTTCAGATGTTGCCTTTGTAACAGGGCTTGTTTGGACAGTGAAGCTCCTGGGCTGGGCACAGCAGGGCAGGCCGGGATGGCCAAGAGCTGGTAATGTAGCCCTCTGTGACCTCCAAGAAGGTCAGAAACCAGGAGCCCTGTTTCGTGATGTGTGGGGACCCAAGGCTCTTCACGGGATCCACAGGAATATTCTTAAAAGAGCAGTGAAGCTTTTTTTTTTTCTTTTAAATCCAAGATTATGGGGTAATTTAGAGGCACAGGATTTGAACGGGATTTAAACCAAGTCAGGAGTCTTGGTAAGGGGAGGGTACCTTTGCTGTTGATTAAAAAGATGAGCAGTGTGTACGTGTTAGAAACCACCTGCAAGGTTCCGTGCCAGAGGACCAGCGTTGACGGAGCTGCATTCGAACCCAGGGCATTTGGTCGGTTCAGACCCTACTGGCCTGGCCCTGCCATGAGGCTGACAAGTATGCACAGCCTCCAAGGGCTAAGATGTGCACCAGGATCCGTGATCCTGAGCTTTGTCTGCTGCTGACCTCTCTGTGCTTGGCCTTCACCGCAGACAAAGAGTCCATCTGGTCAGCCAGTGTCAGGCAAACAGATGCTTGCTGCAGGGCCCCAAGTGAGGGGAGTTACATGCTAATAGAAACAGAATGTTGTACGACCCCTGGTGGGCTGGCACGTGTCTGTTACCCCACACTCGGGAGGTGGAGGCAAGAAGGTTGGGAGTTCAAGATTATCCTTGGCTACATAAGAAGTTTGAGGCTAGCCTGGGCTACATAAGAAGTTTGAGGCTAGCCCAGGCTACATAAGACCCTGTCTCAAGCTCCTCAACCCTCAAAAGGAAGTGGTAACAAACTGGTTTAGACAGCGGTAACAGCCCTGGGAAAACAAGCCTGAGAAGTGGTTGAAGGCCCCTGAGGAGGGATCTCAGGGGGAGGGCAGCAGGTGCAAAGGCCCCGAGGCTAGAGGGGTGACAGCCAGCGAGGCCTAGAACTGCAGAGGAGAAGGGAGGGTGGTGGGTTCTTTCTGCAGGGCCTCTGAGGCCAACAGAGACTGTTTAAGGATGACTGAGTGGGTCTCCCTGCCAGAGCCTGGCACCCACAAAGTCCTTGATAAGTCTGTTGACAAATGAAACAGGCCCCTCGGCCCTGGGGGCTAGGCAAAGGGCAGTGGGTGAAGGAGCAGAGCGCCTGCCCGCCTGCCCGCCTGCCTGCCTGGCCCAAGAGACCTGAGGGATTCAAGCCTGTGACCCAGGGCCTGGAGCCATTTGAGCTGATCCTTGTGCCAGGCAGGAAGAGGGGCCAGGCTGGCCAGGAGGGACTGGAGGAACAAAGGCTGGGAGGAGAAAGAAAGAGAGAGAGAGAGAAAGAGAGAGAGAGAGAGAGAGAGAGAGAGAGAGAGAGAGAGAGTGAGAGACATTCTCTGGGAAGCAGTGGCTGTGGGACAGAGGGCAGAAACAAACAAGGCTGCAAGGCCACAGAGGGAAGCCAGGCCTCCTGTGGCCTCAAGACTGGGGGGCAGGCAGGAGACTGGACTTCCAAGAGGCGTTTTGCTTTTATTTCCAGAGAATTACTAATGTGGAGTACTAATAAAAGGAAGTCAGAAGCACCCATGGTTTTAATGCCCAGAAACAAACCTGTTAAATATTGCTGTGTGGCCTTAGGTATGTCACTTTGCCTCTCTGTGCCTCCGATTCATTGCTTATTAAGTGGGATAATAATGACCTGGCTTCATAAGGATAAGGATGCAGTGAAGGCTGAGTTGGTTCACGTACTATGTTTAACATGATCCCGTCCTGGTACAAGGTGGGGGGTTAGCCGTTGTCCTTGTACGGTGTCGCTGAATCCACTGTGTTCTGGACGTGAATTGGGCAAGCAGTTCTCTTACCTGGCTGTGACAAGAAGATAGCAACATTCTTCAGAGTGTTCTGGAAAGGTTTGACAGGTTAGTTCATGCAGAGACCTCTAGAATTTTCTTCCACGGATTTTCATCCCATCCCCCTTCGTAACAGCAACGGTTGCCAGTTCATGTACACACCTCCCCTTCTTCCTTAGCAGAGGGCTGCCCCGTTTCTGGGAACAGCCGCCTTATGGGGAGACTCCGTTCCCCAGCTTCCCTTGCAGCTAGGAGTGAATGACCCGTGACCCGCACAGGAACTGTAGGAGGGGGCTACAGGACTTCAGCTGCGAGGCACATGTCCTTGATTTCCGCATTCTGCCTGGCGTTCAGACGTGATGGTGAAAGCAGCAAAGGCCGTCTTGAACCCGGAGCTGACCCTTCAAACCCAAAAGACAAAAGGCGTCTGAGTTCCGATGGTGGCGGAGGAGCCACACGGGCCCTTGCTGGCCTTGCTCTGTGCTTGTTTACAGGGAGAAACGCACTGTTCAT